ATCAGTAATAACTATCCAACAGAACCAATATTTTGTCTAAGAAATCATCCCATTGCTTTTTAATTCTGCCTCACTCAATTTCACGGGACATGTGCGGTACAAGAAAGATTTTGAGCCAAAATGTCACACAAATGGCCTCTAGGCTTTTTTTTTTCTTAATGATTATTTATTAATGAAATCCCATGACATTGACCTCAACTATATTGATTTCCATTGAACATCACACATTCCAGATTCTACAGGAAAAGCCAACTGAGCTGTGTCCACCTTTCTACGGCTTTTGCAATGTAGAGCTCCATACCTTCCATAGTCTTCAAAAGACAACATTCTCAAGGCCTTTGCAGCAACAGAATTACTTTGGAGGTACCATTTTTTAAATTCTAACTTGCTTCTCTGTGACTGTGATTAAATATTGTAGCCAAAAGCAACTTGGGTAATGAACAGGTTTATTTGGTTGACAGGCCAAGAGCAGAGTCCATCATTGTGGGAGCTTAGGATACAGCTAACAACTGAAGGTAACACCCCACGGAAACACATTTTGCTGGCTTTCTCTCTAATTTTGTCACTGTCTCATGCTCAGCTAGCTCTCATATACAACTTCCTTAGGGATATTGCCATCCTCAATGGAACAGCCTTCCCCCATCAGTCAATCAACCCAATCTCTCACAGTCATCGCAATCAACCTGTGTGATTTGGTCAGATGACTTTAACCTGTGACAGTTTAAACAAACTAGGAAGCAAAGACAATATATGAGAGTATTTTAAAAATCAAAAATCAATGTATTAATCATATAAACAACTAAAGTAGCAAAATCCCAATCAATGGTAGCAAAATCTGGAAAACACAGATGCCAAGAACGAAGGAGAGCAAAGGCTTTAATATCAAGAGGAGAAAATTAAAACTGTTTCTCCACAGAAAGTCCGCAATTCAACAAAAACTCAAGAAACTCATAACATAAATCAGTAATTTTTCAGAATAAAAAGTAGGTGAGGTCCATTATTTTCAAAGAAAAACAATATAATTAGATTACAATGAATAAAACCAGAGGAAAAAATGACACTAATGATAAAAGGAGACACCAGACAAACCTATAAATATAACACCGTCCTTTAAACAAGTAGTACAAGATCACTATCAAAATCAATGACAAAAAAAAATCACTGGCCAGCACTCACCCTGTATACTCCAGTTCTCTCCATTGCCAATAGGAGAAAATGGGATGGGAGTGAATGGCTAATTCACCAAATTGGAAGAGCTTTGCTTAAAGGATTCTTGTGTTTCAGCACTGTAGAAAATGTTTTTACTTCGATATATATTTCATGCCTCATGATAAAGAAAATGATGTCTTTTATGATCATTTAGAAGCCATTTTGTTTTCTCACATTGATGATTGAATGTAAGTCTGCATCAGAGTGAGAACTTCTAGAAAAAAATGCAAGACAACAGATTTTTACACAGCCGTTCTATGGTTTGTATTATATTCCATGCCAAGGAACTGGTTTTGCTCTAATTGCTTTGCAAGTCACAAGAACTTTTGAAAACAAGTTTATCCCCAGTGTTATGGGTCTATTTGGGTGTGTGGGAGAATATCCCCTATGAGTATATAGGTGGCACACCAGAAAAGGGGGTGTCAGATCCCTTGGATCTGGAATAGCAGATGGTTAGGAAACTCCCAATTTGGGTTGCTATCTGAATTCAGGTTATGCCCAACAAGAATACTTGCTAAGTGACCTGCCCAGCCATCAGAGTACTTTTTATCCACTAAACTAAGGATTTCACAGTTTAGCCATGACATCAACAACAAAAATGACATATTAAATAAGGAAGAGTAAACAAATGATCCCTGGGAAATTGATGCATTTCTATTAATATGTTGGATATGCAGGCACACATTTTCACCACCCATAGAACTTCCATAAGCCTGCCAAAATATTCCAGACTGCACACAACACACCACCACACACTGCTGGTTCCATATCCTGCTCTAAAAGTTGGGAAGAAGACTTCAGCTTTACCAGAGGCCAGGTCACATCGAGGGACCCCAGGTAAGACACCCATCACTACCTAATAATCCCCCTTAAAGCCCGCCCAGCAACCTGACTACACTCCCTACCTTGGGCTCCACACAAGGTCCCACAGCTGTTCTAGAGGCCAGCGTGGTTCTCATGACCCCCAGGAAGACACTCCTAAACTCCTTCAAGTCTGTCCAACAACTTCAGTGCATCTCAACCACTAAAACCCAATCTCAGCCTATTGCTTTGGAAGATATTTTTGGCTATTTCAGAGACAAAGAAGGTCCAAGGAACTATACAGGTAAGACACCACCCACATCCAGCTAACAGGCCAGCAACACCAGACAGCATAGCTCTGGTGGCCTTACAGGAGGTGAGGCTACTCCTAGGAACCCCAGGGAAGACAATGACCACCACCCACTAACCTCATTTAAGCCTGCCCCAAAAATCACAGACCTGATCATCCCTGGCTCCATATCTTGGTTTACAATTAGGAAGATTTCTGCTTTACCAGAAGCCATGCCAGATCTAGCAATTCCAGGACAACACCTCGATGAGAATACAGCCTTACTAGAACACAGGCCAGGTCTAGGTTCCCAAGCAATAATAGGTCTACTGGAGACCAGCCTGAACCTAAAGACCCCAGAGGCCAGACCAGATCTTTTAAACACTGCTGTTTTCTTCACTCATTAATACCATCTGTAGGGGTGAGCCCCACAAAGCTATCCACCCTAAGGGCAGGAATAAGGACATTTAGGATAAAAGGAAGTGAAAGAGAAACAAATTCCTCTGATTCTCCTCTCTTCCTCTGGAAGATGGCCACACTTCTGACTCCCCATCCTTTGTGTGTAAGTTCTTATTCTGGTAAATAAATATTATATTCCATATTGCATTGGCATTCCACTTCACCTGTCCTCTTGAGTCCACAAGCTTGTCCTCAACAAATAAAAATTTAAGTTATTTTCCTATTCAGGCAACCATGACTATAATGGCCATGAGAATTCTGATACTTTTTAATACAAATCTTTATTGCATGGATAATATACTGAGTTTTATGGGCTCCATTGCAATTCTGCCAATTTACGAGAACACTGTATACTGTAGATACACATGAACACAGGGATAGAAGAAGAATGTCTGGAGAACGTTGTTTACTCTTTTGTTTGTAGTAATATGATTGCTTGGGTGTAGGTAATATGTCCAAGAGCCTCAGAATACATAGAGTAAATGTGGGTAATTTTATATCAATGATTAAAATACATCATGATTTTAACAAATTTTAATTCATATCTGTTGTAAAATCCCAACCTACTGCTATCAGAGATTACTTTGTATGCTTCTGCACAATAACATGTCATGTTCAGATTCACTGTTAAATTCTGGAGCAAGTTTTACTTTCACTCTTTGCTTTTTCAATTAAATAATACATACTAGGCTATCTTCTATGTGAACATAACAATGTATTCTGTGTGAGTAAACTACATTGCAGTCCTCTTTCTGTCTTCATACAATGTTTCAGATTTGTTTCACTTTCACACATTTTTTGTAGTTTGCTAAACAAAGACTACTTGGAATAGTTTCTTTTAGCCCTTTACGCTTTTGCAAACAATAGTATTAAAATGATGTGTATTCCAGACTATGGACACCCCCATGGAGGGCCTCACCCTCCCTGGGGGAATGAGGGGATAACGGGGGAGGTTGGGGGGCGGGCACGGGAGGAGGGGAGGGAATGGGAGAGGAACCTTGAACTGACTTGTGAAGCAACCTCGTTTCTTATCTAAATTTAAACTGGAAAATAAAATATAAAAAAAATGATGTGTATTCAACATCATGAAGACGTCGGGTATGTTCAATTTACAGCATAAATTCAATACTATCCATAGAAATTTTTCAACAAATTACAACAGTAAATCGGATTCCAAAGCTATATGTCACATGAAAAAACACAGAATTCTCAGCAGGATTAATAAAAACTGGTACACATTGACATAATTTTGTTCTTTACATAAATCTACAAAAATGAAGAATATGCACAATATTTGTGAACAAATGAGGGTATACAGAGAAAAAGCCAAGAACAAAAGAAGAAATATAGTCACACTTAAATCAGAAGACCTAAGAAAACTCAACCAGGAAAATGTGAACTTAATGGAACCTATGATTGAGCCTGTATAAAAATTAAATAAAGACTTCAGAAATCTCACAAAAGCAACTCAAAGTGAACCCTAAACTTCTCTATTTCTGACCCTCCAGCTACTAGTGATGTCTCTCCCACACACAGAGGCCCCATACTCTAGAGGTCTCTCTGGAAATGGAGGTGATCAGAAATATTTCCTATGGTTATGCATTCCCTCATTACCCACTGTAGTTTCTAGCAAACCCAGTCTGACTGATACACACACACACACACACACACACACACACACACACACACGTTGAAAGATCCTGCATCCTGCCACATGGATTATAGCACAATATGTGGAATCTGCCCTATTAACCTGCACAACACCATGTACACTGAAGGAACCTCTGTAGCCCAGAAATTCCTTTTGCTCCCTGGGGTTGAATTTCCCTGAATTGTACTATTGTGGCTAGTGGTAGAGGGAAGCTAAATGCACTCTAGTCAAATATTTCTGAAGGATGAGCCCCCATTACCTCCTTTATACCAGTTCTAAACTGTTTGCAAACCTTGTCACACGTAACTGAATGCGGAATGACAAGTTGAGAATTTCTACAAACCAGACCTTCAGCGTTCCAACCTTCCTTCCCACTACACACCAAAGCATTGCCACTCCCCCCTGCATTAAGGCTGACACGGCATCCCCTCATAGGAAATGGGCCCCAACAAGCTAGCTCATGCACCAGGGATACATCCTGGTCCTACTGGCAAGGATCTAATGTTGTCAGGAACCAGAATGCACCTTCACATACCCACTCAATCACGCACTGACAGTACATAATTACAATTAAAATAACACACTAAACAATTTTTCAATCATGAAAGTTTTTCTATTGTAACCATTCATTCCTGTAACACAGGTGTTGAGGTATCTGACAGCTTACTTAGAGTTTTTCTTCATTGTGGATTGGTATATGTAACTGAAAACAAGCATATAGGCTTGAGGTCTAAGTTGATGGTATCATTTGGGGAGATTTAGGAAATGATGCCCTTCTGGATGAAATATGTCCCTGGGGGTAGGCATTGAGAATTTGCATCCAAACACCATTTCCAGTTCCCACTCTGCTTCATGCTGCAGGTTGAGGGTGTGAGTTCTTAGCCTGCTGCTATAGCTTCCATTCTGACACTACTTGCCATGCCACTTTCATGGTGATTCTGCATCCCTCTGGAACCAAGATGCCAAATTAAATTCTTTTTTTTCCAAACTGATAAATGACAATTTTATTTTTATGCATAAAGGTAGATGAGAAACCATTACCAGTTCTATTAAAACTGAACATTTCAATTGAAAAGCATAGTATGTATACTTCTTAAATACCATTTTCTAAAATACAGCTTTAAAACATCTAACATGCTTGTGTAATTTCAGTACAATGGCTTCAAGACCAAGTATACATATTACAAGCATCCAGACTGGATTACAAATTATCATAGTCAGCAGCAGCAGCAACATCATCATAACTTTCACATTTTCTTTTCAGCGCATTTGCTGACTCATTGGCTGTATTTTGGGATACTGTATTAGTAGTAGTTAAGAATGTTTTTGGACCCAATCAGTGATGGATTAATCAGAACATTCTGAACTGCTGATGTTGCAGGAATTGATGCTTTCACAGCAGGGGACTGAGAAGCAGGCATCTGGACTGTAAAGTTTTGTCCTGTAAGGGCCACTGGAGTGTCTACTTTAGTTGAGACAGACACAGTTTTTGGAGTTGGTGTGCCTAGTGTGGGAGTACTTGGTCTGCTAGAAACTGAACCAACACTTAACCTGGGAACTGTTATTCTTCCTGCAGGAGCAGATGCCTTTTTTCTTTTTCAAAGACTTAAGCCTATAGTTACACAGTACCTATCGGGTGGCGCTCTAGGACCTGAGTATGGCTTGATCAATGGCAAAGGGGTTTGATGTCTTTGTCTTGCAATACCTAATAAAAATCTCTCGGGGGAGGAGAGGTGAAAGACTGGTCCGCATGGCACGAATACAAATCCCTCGGGGGAGGAGAGGTGAAAGACTGGTCTGCACGGCACTGAATTGCCAATCGCACATCATCTGCATCAACAGTAGCTTTCTTGGCTTGGCTTGAATAAACTTTAGCATCATCTAGAATTGAGGTCACATATCGGAAGGCAAACTCCAACATCTGATTTATAACTCTCGGCTCATATCCTGTAATCTCCATATCCTTCAGGATCTGTGCCATCATCTGTGCACCTTTCGGCATGCTCTTGGGAGAAGCCATCTTGCCAGACTCCATGATGTCTGGTGATCAGACTTAAATCACCACCCACATTCATGTCCTTCAGTCCTGATCTTGATGCAAGTTCTTTGCCTAGAATGGTCTTTCTGACCCTGGTGTACCAGTGAGCATGATGTTTGGAAGGCCAAATTAAATTCTTGTAAGTTGACATAGACCTTATATCACAGGAACAGATAAGAAACTAAAACAAATCCCTAAACTTTTACACCTGAATTAGATATTTCAAGCAATTGAAGAGAAGTATAAAATCTAAAGGGTTACATTATCCTTTAAATTCATGGTGCAAGTGTTACAGCTCTGGAAGGAACCGTACCCTGACTGTCATGAGGCAGGCTATACCTACAGATTAGAAGTATAGGTATTGGATACCTACAGTTGTGAGGAGAAAGGAATCCTGACTGGCAGATGCCAGCCTATGCATGAAGCTGTGTTCCAGTGGGAGATGGTCTCCTGCAGGGAATAGCAATCCTGCTCCTCTCTGAGAGAGAGCCATCACAGCTACAGGCAAGAGTTTCCAAGCAGAGATGTCTGTTGCTGCCCTGCCCCACTCCCCTCAGGGAGATTCCCAAGAGGTATCCATGCCCCTCTGCTCTGCTCCAAGGGAGTTTCCCTGGCGAGATGGATGTTTTTCCTCAGTTCCACCCCAAACTGTTCCTACTCTGCTTCATTCAACTATAGCAGAAACCACTGCAGAAATCTATCAGTCTGCTTGGGCTCTGGGACTAGGTTGCTCATTCTGCTCTGTTCCCCTAAGGGAGTTTGACAACAGAGGTGTTCATTGTTTCTCTGCTCTGCCCTGCTAAGGAAGTTTCTGATCAGCTCACATGTAAGGTCTTCACCCAAAATTCATTCCAGAGATTTGCTGGCAAGGAATGGCTGCCTTTGCCAGAGTGGGAAAGGCAACTGCCAACTGAACAAGCACATGCCTTACATAGGACTTCTTGGGATGGACATCTTCCAGGAATAAAATTTTCAGGGTAGAAATTGGTTGGATTTCAATGCCTGTGCCTAACCAGTCCCAGAGACTGGCTGGACTTCATGCTCACAGTTTGCTTGGTTTCAATCTCAGTGATCAGTTGGTTTGCACTTACTTGGTCAAAAGTAGAATTTATTTCCTTGGCTCTGGATTCAGGAAAAAGATGTGTTTCTTTCATTGGTCCATTCTAACATTTTGGCTCTGGTTCAGGGCTAGAGCATTTCTTTGACTGGCTCTGGATTAGGGCAAAGAGTGTTTCTTTGGCTCTGGCTTAAGAGCAGTGTGTTTCTTTTGCTCGAGTTTCAGGGCCACAGTCTGTGTTTCACTGGTGCTGTTTGCAGGATCGGTGTGTGTTTCTTCAGCTGGCCCACTTACCCTACACACAGGGTTCACAAATTGTTTTTTTTTCATGAGTTTGCTAGTGCAAACAATATAAAAACAGATAGCATAATGCTTGAACAGATTGTTGAAACTATTCATTTTTTTCCTACAGAATAAATACTGTTTTGAAATTGATTATGTGTTAGCTAAAGACCTTACCAAATTTTTTATAATAAGAAGCCCTTTCTACACTTTTCAGGTACTCAAAGACTATTGTAATATGCAAAAGCTTGAATAGATTGAACACAAAAAAGTTTTACTCCTGTATATATAAAGGGTAAAACTTTACCACACTGACTATTTTTATAGGGTTTCAGTGAAGTATGATTTCAAAGACTACTGATAAGTGCATAGGCTAAGAAAAAAATTATTATATTCATCAGGTTTCTCTGCTGAATGTGTTCTTTTATGCCTTTGAAGTTGACTGTCACATATGAAAGCTTTACCACACTGATTACATCCATAGGGTTTTTCTCCAGTATGTGTTCTTTTATGCATTTGAAGAGTACTGTGCTGAGAAAAGGCTTTGCCACACTGATCACATACATAGGGTTTCTCTCCAGTATGTGTTCTTTTATGCACTTGAAGATGACTATGACATGCAAAAGCTTTCCCACACTGACCACATTCATAGGGTTTCTCTCCAGTATGTGTTCTTTTATGCATCTGAAGAGAACTGTGATGAGAAAAGGCTTTACCACACTGATTACATCCATAGGGTTTCTCTCCAGTGTGTGCTCTTGTATGCGCTTGAAGATGACTATGACATGCAAAAGTTTTACTACACTGATTACATTCATAGGGTTTATCTCTGGTATGTATTATTCTTTTATGCATTTGAAGAGTACTATGCTGAGAAAAGGCTTTACCACACTGATCACATACACAGGGTTTTTCTCCAGTATGTGTTCTTTTATGCATTTGAAGAGTACTATGATGAGAAAAGGCTTTACCACACTGATCACATTCGTAAGGTTTCTCTCCAGTGTGTGTTCTCTTATGCCTTTGAAGATGACTGTGACATGCAAAAGCTTTACCACACTGATCACATTCATAGGGTTTCTCTCCAGTATGTGTTCTTTTGTGCTTTTGAAAAGAACTGTGATGAGAAAAGGCTTTACCACACTGATTACATTCATAGGGTTTCTCTCCAGTATGTGTTCTTTTATGTACTTGAAGATGACTATGACATGCAAAAGTTTTACTACACTGATTACATTCATAGGGTTTATCTCTGGTATGTATTATTCTTTTATGCATTTGAAGAGTACTGTGATGAGACAAGGCTTTACCACACTGATCACATTCATAGGGTTTCTCTCCAGTGTGTGTTCTTTTATGGACTTGAAGATTTCTTTGATGTGCAAAGACTTTACCACATTGATTACATTGATAGGGTTTGTCTCCAGTATGTGTTCTTTCACGCCCTTGAAGATGACTGTCATATGCAAAGGCTTTAGCACACTGAGTATATACAGAAGGCTTCTCTCCAGTTTGTCAGTTTCTTCATGCCTGCAAGGATAATTGGCACATGTAACAGCTTTACCACATTCAACACACTGTTGAATCTTTATGTCTGGCTGAATTAATTTTACAATTTGGTTCAATTTCAAAGAGGTTATCAAATCTCAAGATTTTATCACTGTGTTTACACTCATGCTGTTCCCTTTCTTGTAGGGTTGTTTTGCATCTATGATGATACCTCTCATTGTAATATCCTTTATTACATGCTTCACATTTACAGAATCTTTTTTACTATGGGAGACTTTTTACATATTTGAAGAGAACTGGAAAAATTCAGATCTTCACCACCATTATTGCATTCATAAATTCTCTTATAGTGTGAGTCAGACTATATTTTCTAAGTGAACTAGGACAGAGTATTTACACTGTCGTAGTACCCGCAGGGCTTTTCTGCAGTGTGGGTATGTTGAAGTGAAGCTGAAAAATTAATTACTTATATATTGAATCAAATACATACTCAATGGGAAGACTGATACTTATCTTATAATTTTTTCTGAGATACAGGTATGTGATGCCTTTCTGTATACGATGTTTATATGGCTTATAAGCAGAGTAACATATGTTACACCTTGTAAAGGAAGAATAACTAATAAAAGTTTCCACATTGAATTCGCCCAGTTTGAATTTATGTTCCTCATAGACTTGTCGTATAGGGATTAAGGTTTCTCCCCAACAAGTGTCCCTTGATTCAAGACCAGAATTGCTTCTCCCACTAAACTTAACATTAGCATAGTCACAACAAGTTTATGAGTAACACTAGGTTTACTATAGACTATTTGCTTATTAGAAGGTATTGCAGATGTAGTTATTATCTCCTCAATGAATATACATTTTGTAATATGAGTAGTATGAAATAAATGGATTGACTGTTCTACAATCATGGTGCTGTGATTAAAATGGTGATATCTATTACAGCATTATTTCCCTGTCATCTTCCTTAAAAGATTGCCTTGCAAATGCAATTCAACCAACCTGAAATTGAAGTTTACAGTTTTAGAATTTAATAATAATCACTGTACTTTAAGCTGTGCTTATTTCCACTCTTGCTTTTGTTTAAAATTTCAAGGACACATAAAAATTTTTGAGAGGCACATTTGTATCATCATGCACTTGAAAAATTACCTTTCATGTCTTTTAGAACTTTGACAGTGTTCTTCCATATTATGGTCTTCCCATTTGTATCCTAAAATATAGTACAAGAAAGTATATATTACTGAAAATTAAGTAAAATTGAATTTACTGTCTTCAATTAACCATAAAACCATGACTGACTTATGACCTTATTCTTCTTACTCAATCAAATCACAGAAGAATATTAATAACCAAGGGATAGTTGTCCCTTCATTTTAAAATGTGCATGAAAATTCGGTCTTACCTATAGTAGTGAGGTTCATGTAGGTCTCAAACATCACATTTTGGTAGAGATTCTTCTGGGAAGAGTCCAGCAAAGTCCACTCTTCCCAAGTGAAGGCAACATGCACATCATCATAGGTCACTGAATTCTAAAATATCCCGGACATATGTACAACAGAAAACATGATATTTGCAATATTGTAAATGTATACTTCTTTGACAGCATAGTCATATAATTCTTATGCACTCCATACTTATTCTATTATACAGACATTATAATGTAATCACCAAGTCACTTTAGAAGGAAAGTGAATAGCATGGTCACCTCTGTCATTTTAGTATCCTTTGAACAGGATATCACCTTGCAAGAGAAATGCCTATTAACAATCAGAAAGAGAGAATTAGACAGATCAACAGTAAAGAGTACATATGAGAGAACTGCATGAACAATTACTACCTATAAAAAGGAAAGTAAGATGGACAAACTGGGTGTATTGGCCAACACCTTTACCACCAGCACTCAGAAGACAGAGGCAGGTACATTTGCCTCTGAGTTGAATGTCAGCCTAGTCTATGCAATCAGGTCTCCAGGACAGACAGAAGTACATATTGTCTCCCATGAAACAATCAGTCAAAGAAATACAAAGGAGAAAAGGAAGTCAGAGGCTTTTACTGAAGTTCCTACAAAGAGTTATGCATTCAATCCAGTTCTGTACCTATCTTCGCGAAAAGAGCAAGACGGATGGTGGTGAGCAATGGTGCAATTATTACAGCCAATGTAAGTGATGGGACAGGTATCCTCTCAAAAGTCTCTATTTTCGGGCTCAAGGAAGCCCTGAAGATACAAGGAATTAGTGTAAAAAAGAAGGGTCTTAAACAATTCTTACAAGGAACATGGAGGTTGTAACTTATAGGGGAGATGTTTGTCCCTAGGGGACGCGAAATAAATAAACAGATAAATAAATAAAAGGTGGTGACTGCCTTCAAGATTATTAAGGGAATGTATAAGACAAAAATTGTTGTTCAGATGATTGTATATTTACTTGTGTGTGTTTTGATAGCCAGGAGAGCTAAACTGAAGCAAAACTGCAGAGGATTTTGGAATTTAAAAGTTTTAAAAGACTCTTTCCCCTCTCACAGACGCCACTGCTGCAGCAGTATCAAAGATGCTGCGCCAATTTTTAGGGAAGCGAAGGTGCTACCTCGCATACTTGCAGAACAACAGGAAATTATTTTCCTCTGAAGCGGTTAGCGGAGACCTCCACACCTACTGAGGAGGGGCCAGACCAAAAAGAACATACAGGCAGAGAGATTAAAATGATTATAAAAAGAAAGTTATTAAGTATCAGGACAAGAGTCTTCACGTCCCTCATTTTTAACTAGAAACACAGAGAGGCAGAAACCTAGTGGTAAAATTCAGCAAAGGTAGGAGACTTGAAAGATTTAGCAAAATCACTCTCACGAGAGATAAGAACTTTTCAAGGTTCCTCAGATCAGAGAAATGTTCCTTTGTCAAAGGAAGAAGCAAGCACAGATCAGCCTAGGGGAAGGCACCCCTCGGGTCATGGCCGGCAGCTGGCAGGTCGGTGTCTCCAGTATAGGTTAGTGCTGGGGAAGCAACAAACAAAACAAAACAAAAAAGAGAGAGCCCCAAACCTTCCCTTTTGTTATAAAGTGCTCGTTGAGGAAGGGCAATACAAAGATATAGATCAGCAGCTAACTCTTGATAGCAGGGTACGGGCAGATTAGCCCAGCAGCCAGGAGAACTCAAAACAGACTTTCAGCCACCAGGACTCGGGCTGGAGGTTTTGGAAAAAGCAAGCAAGGAACTAAGGAGTTAGTTCAAAATTTTGTCTGTAGGCTAATACAAACATCATCTAAGGGGAGTACAGGTATGAACCTTTTGATTGAGACAGCTAGCTTATGAAAATGCTAATACCGCATGCCAGGCCATGCTAAGACCTTGTAGAAAGGAAGGCGGCACAAATGAGTCTGTTAAAGGTTTGTTCGGATGTCAGACTGGCAGGAACTTAAAAAAGTCCAGGGTGCAGGAGAGAAAAACGGCAGCAGGTAACCTACAGCAGGCCAGCCCAGGCCCAAAGGCCAGGGGCGAGGAAGGTCAGAGCCAGAGCCTAGGAAGCTCACAGCCTTGAGAGCTGCTGCCATGGCTGACGCCCAGACAAATGTATAGAAATGCTATTAATACAGCCAGTCAGAAACTGTTTTAAGACCTTATAGAAAAAAGACTACATGGATAAATTTGGATTTGTTCAGATTTTGGATGCTCATAATTCAACTATATGGCTATAGCAAGAGACTTCAATTAAGAACCTAAGCAAGAGGATAGATGAAAGAGATGTGTATATGATCTGGGTGTATAGGCGTGGTCATGCCAGTATATATGGAATGTGACGTGTAAATGCGTGAATGTTGATGAAAGCAACTGTTCTAATTGCCTTGGATATGATTAAAAGGATACTTAAATCACTTTGAATATAGTTAAAAAGCTACCTAAATTGCTTTAGATAGGGCCAAAAGCAGCATCCAGCCAGTCAGGTCAGTGTCTTAACAGGAAAGATGAAAGATTTAAGCCTTCAGAGCCAATCAATAGAAAACACCAGAAGCTTACGGCATAGCCTAGGAGCCAAGAAAATATGTATGGATTATTCTATGAAGTTTAAAACGAGAGGATACAGAGATCCTCCTAAATTTTTTATGGTTAACAAAAAAGATAATCTAGCAAATAAAGTTAATACATGATTTAAAAAAAAGTTTTTTCAAAGAACTGCCTCTTCGTCAGGCCCCACCCACAAAGGTGTCTGTGTAAATGCAAATTAGAGCATGTCAGCTAAGATGCAAACGAGGCCTTGTCAGCTAGTGAGAGGCTTAATGGTTGGATCCAAAAAGACTACTTGCAAATTTTGAGTGATTTTTCAAGTTATTTGGGACATTTGTTATATTCTAATAAAAATTAAACCATACTTGGGACATATGTTATAGTCTAATAAAAATTAAACCTCAATTTAAAAAATTAAAAAAGATAACTTACAATCTGACAATCTTTTAAGCGATTTTTCAAAAATTGTTGGGAAATATTCAATGGTTGTGTCCTTTAAAAAAGGTTCTAAAAGAAAATAGTGATCCCAATTCACCTGGGGGGTTGACTAAGGAAGGTAACAAGGTCAGGTGTTAGAAAGTATAGTCTGGCATCAGCAGATGTTATATTCACAATACAAAACCATGGGAAGTTCATGCTGTTTCCCCAGCCAAAGTGTTAAATCCTTATTTTAAAGCATTAGCCTGTATGGTGTGGAAATACCATATGGAATCTGGGAGATATTTTGACAGAGAACAAAGCATAATACTGTTGTGCCAGGTTTACGGGTTCCCAGAGACCAACCTAAGGAATTGACAGTTCTGATGCAAAGGAAAAAGGTTCTTTACTTCAGGCTGGTCAGATTGCATTTCTCTCCAAGACAGAGGAGATGAGATGCTCACCAGCAGAGCATAGACGACCCAGAACAGAAGATCAGAGAGGAAATAGAAACCAAGGAATAAAAGACCCATCCAACAAAGACAAACTGAGAAATAGACATATAGAGCCACAATCAGCTTAAAACCAGCATAAGAACAAAATCAGCAACAACCAGAGTAATGTTGCTATCAGATTCTAGCTATCCTACTGCACCAAGTCATGAATATTCCAACACAGATGAAGCACAATTGGGTTAACATCAATTTTATAAAGATGATAGACCTGAAAAAGGAAGTGAATAAATCCTTAAAGAAAGCAGTGAAAGAATAATAAAATCTCATTAAAAAAACAATCAGTTGAAGGAAATGAATGAATCTCTTCAAGACCTGAAAAGGGAAATAATTGCCACTGAAACATGCAAACTTAATGGATTCTGGTAATGAAAATCTAGATAATCAAACAGGACATACAGAGGCAAGCTTCACCAAAAGAATCCAAGACATAAAACAGAATTTCAGTCTTTGAAGGTATGAAAGAAGAAATAGCTACATTGACAAAGAAAAGTTTAAAACTAAAAATTTCCTGAAACATAACATCCAGGAAATCTAGAACACTATGAAATGACTAAACCAAACAAAACAGAACACAAAGAGAAGAATCTCAGCTCAAAGTCTCAGAAAAAAATAGTATCAAAGAATTCATAGTGAAAACATTTTCTAACCAAAAAAGTACACAGTGATGGGAAGATTTCCACAGATCTACAATAATGACACAAACTGGCAATCTAAGCAATAGATTCAATGCCCTTCCCAGATAATGACTACCTTGTATGCCATCCTAAAGCCTTCATCCAGTGGCTGATGGAAGCAGAGGCAGACACCCACAGCTAAACACTGAATTTTTGAATTCCTGGAAACCCAGTTTCAGAGACGGAGGAGTGAAGACCAAAGGGGTCAAGACCAGGCTGGTGAAATCCACAGAAACACTGCCCTGAACAAGGGGAAACTCATGGACCCAGACTGATGGCTGAGAAACCAGCATTGGACTGACCCAGACCCCCTGAATGTGTGTACAGTGGGGAGACCTTGGTAATCTGATAGTAGATCAGTACTTATCCCTGTTATCTGAATGGACTTTGGCTTTGAATTGTTTGGTCTCTGAGGGAAGGGCAACAGCTGTTAAAAGACATTTGATAATAAGTGTCGCTGGATTAATCCAATCTATATATTTTTAAAATGCCTTGACTTCAAAATTTAAGTCTAAGGACAAGTTGCTTTGTAAAAGGGGTTCTGTTTTTGTTTCCACAGATAATGAAAAGCTTTGAATTCCTTCTAGACTAATTTGGTTTGATCAAGCAAGACTCGCTGAAGCAGTGGCCCAGGTCATCCAACATCCAAAACAGCTGAGGCCATGCAGCCTTGCAGACTACTACAGCCAGGATTTGGCCAGGTTTCTGAGTTTTCTCAGGATCCCACCACGGTATTTTCAGTGACCACAAACAGCAGGAAGCAGTTTAGAGAGAACAATACACACATTCCCAAGTATTGTTTTTTTTTTTTTATTTAAATGGTGTTGGTTGTAAATGGTTAGTGACCACAGCCAATCGCTTTTTAAAAGAAAAAGGGAAATATGATATAGAAATGAATACTTTGCATTGGTATTGATTTTGATTTATTGATACAAATTTAGGTAAATTTGTTAAAGGTACAATTTTACACTTGTTTAGATATTGTATTTATACAGCTCATTAAAATGTATAATTAAATACAGATGATAGATAGTTACCTATAATAGTCAAAACTTATGTTAGTTATATTTTCTAGATATATTTCAAGTGGATAGATGTTCTTTAAACCTTTTAAAGACCTATAAAACATGGCAT